GAACGCTCCTCTTTCTTCTGATCTACCACCCGGGAATCGAATTTTCAGCACTCGCCTGTTTGTTTTTACCAACCAAAAGTAAGGCTAGACAGGAAGCTCAGAAAAACTGTCGTTGTCATGATCATCTAGGACTTCGACTTGGGACCATGTAGAAAACACAAACTTGCAGAAGGTACATTACTCCGAAAAAAATGAAGGACTTTTGGATAATAAAGGCAGTAAGAACGCAGTCAATCGATTGGTCGATCTGGCGCTTGCATAGAGAGGCCTACGCAGTCCCTTCTGGACTGGCGTCACTGGTGTTTGATTGGCTCTTACCCCTATAACTGTAACTTGTTTTTTTTTGCTGTCGCTTTTAACTCCGACGGTGGATTCCAGTAAGAATTCCAAAACTCAGACCAATAAAGCCCTAATTCTCTATTTTTGTTTACTTATGCGCGGGATACTCGAGTCAGCGAATAGGTACAGGATTTGACGAGGGCAGTCTGTCATTGGCTACTTTCTGATGCCATTTCTGGTTAAGTCCCTAACCACGGCCCGATCCACCATGAGATGGCCACCACGATTAGGAGGTTCCAATGTGGTTATTGACGCATTGTGTACCAAATCCATGAAACCGGTAGAGATCGTGCCCATGAAGCATGTAAGCGCTCCAAAAGAGAAAACAACGACGTTTTGTGTAGTTATTCCGCATAATCTTCTTCAGAGAAAATAAAGTCGTGCGCATCAGGCAGAGTACGCCCTGCAATAGCTGTGTGTACGACTTTTCAGTCGCTGAGGATGGGAAGACGAAATAACTACTCCAAACATCCCAATAATCCCCCCTCCAGTGAAAAAACCTTGCTCTTCTTTTGTCATGACACCTGGCAATCGCATTTTCATTAAAACTTCGTCATAGACTATGATTGATGAACGCTCATCTATCGGTTACGGGACTCAATCGTTCCGTCGCACCTTGGGGTTCATTCTCTAGCTCCGCCAATAGTCACACAACGACAAGTAATATAGGCAAACTGAAATTACCCACAAAGACGAGAAAGACTGCAATGGCTATTTTTTGGCTTATTAGCCGTCATCAGCCAGTCATTCGCAATCCCGGGTGTTGTGGCACCCGAGATCCGAACTCGCAGCCTGTTGACTAGAGCTCTAACGCACTGCACCACGGTCTCACTGTCTTGCCGGTTTTGATTTGTAGTATTAACCACAATAGGTAGACGTTCACCGATCAGTTAGGGGACTGACTCGTTCTGTTGCGCCTTGGGACTCACTCCCGAGGGCCGTCAGCAGTCACACAACCAAAAGTAATATAAACAGACTGACTTCTACGGGCACAATTGTGAGCAAGAGGACAATCAGATGAAGCAAACAGCTAGATAGGACGCGCGGCGGTCAAAACTGTTAGGAGGGACCAAACAGCTAGCATACAAGCAACAGCCGCGTTCACAGTAGGCTATCGATCGGCCTACACGCGAGCGAACGCATTGTGTCAGACAATCAATCAATAATTTAAATTTCAAGCTACATTCAGTCACTGAGTCACCAGCCAATCTTACCGGCGCCTACGTCAGGGGAGAAGCTAATTGGCCCGATGAACATAGCTTCACACGCGTTTTCTACCCTAAATATGTTGTACTAGATACACTCAAAGACTTCTGCTGTTGCACACTTCTTGTTGTGTTCTTCCTTTGGGGATTCACACAAGGCGTTATTGGGTAGTGATATCTCGGCCTGGGCTACAGTTACAACAAAAACTTCTGCCGATTAAGTTTAGGGAAATGCGTTTTTCTGATGCACGAAAAGCCGAGTTGACTCACTTTCTCATTGAGCACGATATTTTCGGTATCATTTTTAAGATCTTTCCTCTTTGAGGCGAGTTCATATTCACCAGGAGAGACACGAAGTGTGAGGTAGGCCGTCGAGGAAAACTTCGAACGTGCGTTACTCTACAAATGCAAGAAATAAATGGTCCGCTGTAGTGGAAGCACCCGCAAAACTTTGATCTAGATGCTACTCCGGCATGGGGTCAGGCTTACCCAATTGCGTCCGTTTAGAGCGCGAACCTCCAGCCGCCTTGCAGTCTCGTCAACGAGCACAGACAACTGTAGGTAGGGATGCCAGTCAAGTAGACGATTTTTCATGTCATCCACCAATCTGCCGAATTCATAGGATGATCCCGCGTTGTTGCTGTCTTTAACTGGGTCTGGCAAGCGTAGACGCTGTACAAGACGCAAACTATTTCCTGGAAGAGATATTTAATACTCTACTAGAGTCTTACTTTGTGTTTGACTGTCAGGTGATAGCAGAGAATCCCCGGCCTTCTTGGGTTGCAGGAAATCGTGAAAGACTTCACTCTACGGACGAAAAAAAAGTCCTGCAGGTTGTAATTGCTGTGAGTGATGTCGAAATAATACAGACAAGGTCAAGGAAGATCAAATTCATCAGTTCTGTTTTTTTTAAAATGAGTATTTAGTCAAATCCCAACCATGGGCACGGGGACCGGGTCCTGGTTGGTCATCGAACAGTTGACCCAACTGCCCAATCAGTTCCGTCGCGGGCATATGTTCAGAAAGCATGATCAGGAATATTTAAAAGTGGAACTGTAGTGGCTTTGCTCCGGACGCCCGTTAGAAAGCTGCACCCCCGTGGCATTCTGGTTTTCAGCCAATCAGAGCCTTACAAAGCGGCCAATCAATTTCAAGGTCAAACCAGACTTACTCCCACTCAGGGCGCTGCAACGCATTCCCCACTGGCACTCGGAGCGCCACTCTCATTTGCCTGCTAACCTTTTCTGATTGGTTCTCTAATCCTTCTGCATAGAATACCAGATTTTCTCGGTTGACCTCCAACTTTTCTTCCTATTCGGGACTGGACCTGAAAGTCGTAATGACTAGGGTCTCCTCTAAGGTATTAACTGCCGCGACAGAACTGACGCTTAAAGCATCCGGTTGCAGGGCAGGGCAAGCTCGTCCTGATTAGTCCTAGAGCTCTCGCGGATAGCAGCCATTGAAGACTAGAACGAAAGTTTTATATTTATTTGTCACTAGCAGCCAGCCATACCCAGACCGGGCAGGCCTGAGAGTGTAACTGCAAGGACGAACCGCGAACGAGCCTGTTCCTGCAGGCAATCGACTGATACAGCCTCACCCCGGGGGGATGCTTTTCCG